TCTTATATACATTTCATATAGGTGAGCGTACTGTTTCTTACTAAAATCGACATTCAGATTATCATATGGATATGATTCAGATTTCAAGTGAACTTTAAAGTTTGATAGATTATTTGTGATAAGTTCTCCATTTAGTGTAAATCCAATTATTGCAAATCTCGGTTCTTCGCGGCTAGGCGACAATTTCACTTTCCAGCTGGGTTGACTGCCATACCCTAATTTAAGATTAACATATGTCATTGTTTTCCTTTTAACCTTTTATATTATACTCGAAGCTTCAATCCTAACGACTTTAAAAATAGTTTATTTTTCAAAGTAAGTGGGCATCTTTTTACTGTTGGTGCTCTTTCTATTGTTTTACCATTTGTTATGATTGGCTGAGGACTTAAGCTGCCCTTTTTTTTTTTGTTTATTTTGGTTTTAATTCTTCCTAACGCTACAAGTACAAGAATACTTATAAATTAGTGCGCTAGTCACAATTCAATTTACTTCATGAACATAAAAATTTCTTAACTATATAGTTCTAATACGAGACATTAAAGCTATGACATTTGACATTGAAACATTGAATTCTTAAGGGCTAAGTTTTGTTTTAAATTATATACTGTTTTGAAGTTGTATGTGTAAATTGGCTTTGAATTGCGTGGCAGATTTAATTGTTGTATGTAATAGTTTATTCCAAGAACGTACAGGACAGATAAAAAAAGTGCTTCTCAGCATAGGAATGTTTTAGTTTTTGACAAATTAGATTGTTTGTTCTGTTGGAAGCGCTGAATTTTAAGTTGCAAAAGAGATATTTTGGCTCGGAAGTTGTTATTAGTTTGTGCTGTAGTAGTGTTTTGTACTCGATCCAGACTTTTAGCGGCATATCAAAATTTTTAATAGTTGCATCAGAAATTCGATCTGTGCCTTTGCGATTATATATATAGATCGCTACACTGTTGAAGGCTACAAGGAGTTGTTTTCTTTTTCTATAATCATTCTATTGAACGAATGTGCATGCAAATGGATACGCTTTCACCACGTAAATTCACCAAATCGCCGTTTTGATCAATTATGCGAATAGATAGTGTGCTTAGCGTGCAGTTGATTGGTAAATAAATTAGGTTATGTGATGTCACTGTCATTTTATATTCAGGCGGAACATTAACGCCAAACTCATGTACCGTGTGATTCGGTGTTCTACCTACATATGATCCCCTGATTATATTAAATTCCAAACGAATTGCGTTACTTTTTAATATGTTCACAGTCTGATCTGGTCGATAGGTTTTGGTAGGATGTGGTTCTAGTACTTTTTGATGGAAGTCAGAAGTTAGCAATGCAGTGAAGAAGACGTTTCCGACCCCATAAAGTATATATATTCTTGATCAGCATGACTAGACGTATCGATCTAGCCATTTTTTTTTCGATGTATTAAAAAAATACCAAGAAACAAAAAGAATATTAAAAATGATATCAAGAAATAATAGTTCCAGTTTCATGTCCGTCTGTCCGTCCGTTTCTACTCAAACTAGTCTCTCAGTTTTAAATTTATCGGGCAAAAACTTTCGCAAAAGTCTTCTATCTTTTGCAGGTAGTATATAAGTCGGAACCAGCCAGATTGGAGAACTATATCTTATAGCTCCCATAGGAATAATCCGTAAAACAAATTTAAAAAATTAAATCCTTGATGTTTTTAACATACAACCTCCTAAGCTTGGAAATAAACATTTTTTAATTAGTTTTGCATTTTGAATTAAATTTTATCAAAATCTATACTACTATATCATATAGCTGCCATAGGAACGATCGTAAAATTGGTGGGAAAATAATATGAAAGAAATTATAGTTTCGGTGTTCCTTAACATATAATTTCCTACGCTTGGAAATAACATTTTTTAATTAGTTCTGAATTTCGAACTTAATTTTATCAATATCGGACGACTTTATCATATAGCTGCCATAGAAACGATTGTAAAATTGGTGGGAAAATAATATGAAACAAATTATAGTTTCGGTGTTCCTTAACATATAATTTCCTACGCTTGGAAATAACATTTTTTAATTAGTTCTGAATATCGAATTTAATTTTATCAAAATCGGACGACTATATCATATAGCTGCCATAGGAACGATCGTAAAATTGGTGGGAAAATAATATGAATCAAATTATAGCTTCGGTGTTCCTTAAGATATAACCTCCTACGCTTGGAAATAACATTTTTTAATTAGTTCTGAAAATCGGACGACTATATCATAAAGCTGCCATAGAAACGATCGTAAAATTGGTGGGAAAATAATATGAAACAAATTATAGCTTCGGTGTTTCTTAACATATACCCTCCTACACTTGGAAATAAAATTTTTAATTAGTTCTGCATTTCGAATTTAATTTTATCAAAATCGGACGACTATATCATATAGCTGCCATAGGAACGATCGTAAAATCGGTGGGAAAACAATATGAAACAAATTATAGCCTGGGTGTTTTTTAACAAATAACCTCCTACGCTTGGAAATAACATTTTTTTATTCATTCTGAATTTCGAATTTAATTTTATCAAAATCGGACGACTATATCATATAGCTGCCATAGGAACGATCGGATAATTGGTGGGATAATAATATGAAACAAATTATAGCTTCGGTGTTTTTCAACATATAACCTCCAACGCTTGGAAATAACATTTTTTAATTAGTTCTGAATTTCGAATTTAATTTTATCAAAATCGGACGACTGTATCATATAGCTGCCATAGGAACGATCGGAAAATTGGTGGGAAAATAATATGAAACAAATTATAGCTTCGGTGTTTTTTAACATATAACCTCCTACGCTTGGAAATAACATTTTTTAATTAGTTCTGAATTTTGAATTTAATTTTATCAAGATCGGACGACTATATCATATAGCTGCCATAGGAACGATCGGAAAATTGGTAGGAAAATAACAAGAAACAAATTATAGCTTCGGTGTTTTTCAACATATAACCTCAAACGCTTGGAAATAACATTTTTTAGTTAGTTCTGAATTTCGAATAACATTAAAAAAAAATCATAGCTTCGGTGTTTTTATACCCTTGCAGAGGGTATAATGATTTCAGTCAGAAGTTTGCAACGCAGTGAAGGAGACGTTTCCGACCCCATAAAGTATATATATTCTTGATCAGCATCACTAGACGAGTCGATCTAGCCATGTCCGTCTGTCCGTCCGTTTCTACGGAAACTAGTCTCTCATTTTTAAAGCTATCGGGCTGAAACTTTTCCAAAAGCCTTATATCTTTTGCAGGTAGTATATAAGTCGGAACCAGCCGGATCGGACAACTATATCTTATAGCTCCCATAGGAACAATCGAAACAAAATGTAAAAAAATTTATATTTTCGGTGTTTTTTAACATAAAACTTCCTAAGCTTGGAAATGATATTTTTATACCCTTGCAGAGGGTATAATGATTTCCGTCAGAAGTTTGCAACGCAGTGAAGGAGACGTTTCCGACCCCATAAAGTATATATATTCTTGATCAGCCTCAATAGATGAGTCGATCTAGCCATGTCCGTCTGTCCGTCCGTTTCTACGCAAACTAGTCTCTCAGTTTTAAAGCTATCGGGCTGAAACTTTCCCAAAAGTTTTATATCTTTTGCCGGATCGGACAACTATATCTTATAGCTTCTATAGGAATAATCGGAAAAACAAATGTAAAAAAATTATATCTCTGGTGTTTTTTAACATATTACCTCCTTTCCTTGGAAATAACATTTTTTAATTAGTTTTGAATTTCGAATTAAATTTTATCAAAATCGGAAGACTATATCATATAGCTGCCATAGGAACGATCTTGAAATTGGTGGGAAAATAATATGAAAAAAATTATAGCTTCGGTGTTCCGTAACATATAACCTCCTACGCTTGGAAATAACATTTTTAAATTAGTTCTGAATTTCGAATTTAATTTTATCAAAATCGGTCGACTATATCATATAGCTGCCATAGGAACGATCGTAAAATTGGCGGGAAAATAAAATGAAACAAATTATAGCTTCGGTGTTCCTTAACAGTGTTCCTTAACGGTGTTCCTTAAAACTTTCCCAAAAGTCTTATATCTTCTGCAGGTAGTATATAAGTCGGAACCAGCCGGATCGGACAACTATGTCTTATAGCTCCTATAGGAACAATCGGAAAAAAATGTAAAAAAATTATATCTTTGGTGTTTTTTAACATATTACTTCCTTTCCTTGGAAATAACATTTTTTAAATAAAAACGATCGTAAAATTGTTGGGAAAATAATATGAAACAAATTATAGCTTCGGTGTTTTTAACATATAACCTCCTACGCTTGGAAATAAAATTTTTAATTAGTTCTGAATTTCGAATTTAATTTTATCAAAATCGGACGACTATGTCATATAGCTGCCATAGGAACGATCGTAAAATCGGTGGGAAAACAATATGAAACAAATTATAGCCTGGGTGTTTTTTAACAAATAACCTCCTACGCTTGGAAATAACATTTTTTTATTCATTCTGAATTTCGAATTTAATTTTATCAAAATCGGACGACTATATCATATAGCTGCCATAGGAACGATCGGATAATTGGTGGGATAATAATATGAAACAAATTATAGCTTCGGTGTTTTTTAACATAAAACCTCCTAAGCTTGGAAATGACATTTTTTTTATTTAGTTCTGAATTTCGAATTAAGTTTTATCAAAATCGGACGACTACATCATATAGCTGCTATAGGAACGATCGGAAAATTTGTGGGAAAGTAATATGAAACAATTTATAGTTTCGGAGTTTTTTGATATATTATCTTATACTATACTATAGTATATACTATTAATAACATTTTGTGTATTTTTAAGAATTTCGAATTATATTTAATACAAATCGGACGACTCTAACATATAGCTGTCAAAGAAAGATTAAGCGAAATAATGAAATAATTATTTTAAAAAAAAATTTTGCTTTGTTGATTTTGATCGTATTTGACTTTACTCTGGGTATAGAATATTTTAACTTTTCAGAATTACGAAATTAATTTTACACAAAAATCTGACGACTATAATATTTTGCTGAATGGGGTGGTGTTAGGACACGAATAACATGTGTACAGGTGTCCAAATTATAAGGTAGGATACCTAGGTATACCCGTTTTTCCTATTTTATATTACAGAAATAACCTTTACAAGGTTGCCACGAAGCTAGATAACAGGTAATAATGCAGTTATTACACAATCCTTAAATTAAGTAATCAACTTGGTTGACCTAATTTACCTACGAATTGTCCCTAAAATCAGGCATTGTCCGCCATCGAAAGGGTTATATGAAGGTTAATAGCAGGTATGATTCAAGTCAATATATATGACTCGTAATCCTAATCCGCGGATTAGTCTGTGAAAACCAGTTGCCGAGTGACAACGTATACATTGTTGTGTGTATCTTTTATATTCAATTAATATAAACACACCGAAAGTATAAGGTGAAAAGTTAATGAAAATCTACCAAAAAGTACAAGGTGAAATGCTAATATAAGCCCATAAAAAAGTAAAAGGTGAAAAGTGATTAAAAATCCACCAAAAGGTATAAGGTGAAAAGTGAAAAGAGTGTGTAACAAAATAATAAAGTATTATTATACTTTTTTCCTTTGGTAATTATTTCTATAAAGTAAAACAGGATTCATAAATTCGTAACACATAGGTCTCTTCTGGTGAAATTCAGGTGGAACATCAATGAACATAAATAAATATTTACCAGAATCCCGACCAAAGAGATTTTAAAAATCTCTGACAAATTATAACCCCTTAACTTTTATACAATTATTTTTTAACAGCAAAATAAAGAGAATGCCGCGCATATCTTTTTTATCTCAAGAGCCGCCAAGCTGCGCTTAGACGAAGCCGATCCCAATATGCTCAAAATGCGTCACAAATAAGGACCCGTAATGCGCAGCACATTGCCTTGGCCCGTACAAGTAATTTGGAGGTAGCAGAAGAAGCTCGCTCGCGAAATTCCGCTGCTCGCTCTCAGAGAAGGAGAAGCGAAAGAATTCGAGCCAGTGAACGATTGAGGAACACTGACAATCGCGCTACCTGGAGGGCGAACGAGGAAAATCGAGGACCAGAGCGCGCACGGGACGCTGTAGCGCGCGCAATAGTCAGGTCGGATTCCGAGGAGCGACGACGACACTGCTGATCATGCTACCTGGAGATCGATCGGGGAAAATCGAGGACTCGAGCGTTTACGGGACGAATGCAGTTCATAGGATCACTAGGAACAACCCTATCACTAGGACACAGGAGTAAAGGACCAACACAGTGCATCATCGGAACACAAGATTTCAGCAAAGATTTCGGGAACAACATATTCAGGAAATGGCTGACAAGCGACTTCTCACTTACAGGTCGAGTTCACAAAATCGACAGGCGGAATCTTCCAGACAGTCACAGCGCAATATTGCTGCAAGTGCACAACTTTCGGTGGATGAACGAGAGGATCAACGGGAACGCCAGTTACGGAGGTGTCGAGCTACGGCAAGGGAACAATATCTTCGTAACATTAAGGACGGACCAACTAAGTTTTCTACGTGCTGTGGAGGAACGTGGTTTCCATCTCAGGTAAGTGGTTTGAACATACGTACTATTTCTTCCAAATACCGTAACTTTAGTCTAGACAATGGCTTTTATTTAAGTAGAAAGTTTCCGAGTCCGACCGGCAAATATCAATTTTGCAGTACATGTCGTCAAGGCGTTTCCAAAGGTAGGATACCATCCCTTTGTCTCTCTAATGGCTTCGACTTTCCAGAGATACCTGAATGCCTTAAAAACTTGACATGTCTTGAGGAGCGCCTTATTTCTCCTCGAATTCCCTTCATGCGCATTATACCCTTGGATATGAAAGGCAATGCGGAATAAGAGGCGCTGTAGTCAATGTTCCAATTTCAGTACCTGATAGTGTAAGCGTACTCCCGCGCACCTTTGATTCGACCCATGTAATCCAGGTTTATTTAAAAAGAAAGTTAGAATATTCCCATAATTTCATGACGGAAACTATTCGACCCGCTCGGGTTATTCAAGCTGTGCGATACTTGGATAACACTGAGCTCTACAGAAAGCACAACATTTCCTTTGACGGTGATTGGCTCAATCAAATGGGAGCCGAAGAAGAGATACCTTTCATCGCAGATGAACCTGACCGAGAAGCCGTAGAAGAGCTTCTTCGTCTACATTCTCATTCTCAATCAAATGACGATCAAGAAGGTGATTTAAATCCCGGAGGTCATGAAACCCTATTAGAAAACGATGATAGTGGATTTCAGCGTATTGCTATGGCTCCCGGAGAAGGCCGCATTCCAACAAATTTAACCCTTGACGACGACGCAAAAGAACTTTCCTTCCCAACAATTTCTTGCGGCGAAATATTTAATGGGAATTCGAAAAAAAGTTATAGCCATGATAAGACAATTTGGGTTGCCTACATTCTTCATAACCCTCTCTGCTGCTGAATCTAAATGGAACGATCTCTTAGTTATTATATCTCTTTTATTGGATAGCAGAGACATTACTGAGGAAGAGGCAGCAGCTCTTTCTAGCGCCGAAAAAGCTAGATTAATTCGATCCGACCCAGTAACGTGCTCCCGGTACTTCGACTACAGGTTCCAGCAATTAATGAAATTATTTTAAAGCTCCGAGATATTTGGTGAGTTAAGACTCGTCCATTATTATTGGAGGATCGTGTTCCAGCACACAGGATCGCCGCACTCTCATGGGATGTATTGGTTTTCTGGTGCCCCAAAGCTAGAAGGACCCGATAACGCCGAAGAGGTCACCCGCTTTATTGATCTTTTCATTACTACCAGCGGGGACGATCCTGAAATTCATGAAGTAATTCAATATCAGCGCCATAAGCACAGCGCTTCATGTTTAAGGGAATTGCGAGGACGATCGCGTCGCGGCTATGGTAACGATGGTTACTGCGATGCCGGACCACAGGCGATGCGGAACTGCGCTGAGGTTGAGCTAAGTTGGGTCAGCTGCTAGTGGAGATAGTGTATTACGAGCCCTATTCCCAGAAATAGGAAGTAGAACCGCGGAGTTATGAGATGCGTTGATAACTGATTTATTCTTCATTTGGTACATGTTTATATACTACTTGGAACACGGAAGTTTAGTGTAATGATTAGTGAATGAGCTATATTCTAAAGTAGGTAGGTAGGTCAGGGAGTTTTGATTATGGTAGCAGTTTGTGTAGTTGGCTCGGCAGACACTGCAAAATGTGCTGACTGCATTGGCCGGTCAGTGTGCCGTTGAGTCGGTGAGACGGTGAGTTAGTGAGACATATAATATGCTGATCAGCCATTCTCATATGCAGTGGGTGCTACTGAGCGCCTGGTACTGTTCCCAACTTGGCTACTGCTTGATTTGTTGGGTGTGGTCATGTTGAGTTCTTTTAGGTACGAACATTCTCCCCCCCATTGAGGGGTACCCTCAATTAAGTCGTGATGTCGGTCAGCCCTTGACCGAATTGTATAGGAAGCACCTAACAAATCATCGACCAAGGTGGATCTTTCCTTCAACTGCGGTTTGTGATTCAGGTCCTTCACATCTTCTTGATGTTGCTTAACACTCCCCTTTGCGTTAAAATTGACATTACCGTGGGGACTGAAATTGTGCTCTCGTAGAACTTGATCATTTGGCACGTCTATGGTATGTGGACATTCTGCAATAAAACTAAGATATTTCTTGGTTAGGTTTGGACATGTTGAACCAAAGTCAGCCTTCTTGTCGGTTTTAAATTGATGAGAAGTCGGTACTATATTCGTCGGATTTTTATCTTTTGTTGGCTCATAAGCAGCGTTCGGTCCTGCAAAATTACCTCTGCCTTCTACCAGAATAGGGTTGATTTCCGTATCAGATGAGGTTTCTTTATTGAGATAACCTGTGATTACATAACCAAGCCTAGTGCCTTGTGCCAAAGGTTTATTAGGTCCTAGTTCAAGAAGTTCACCGGTTATTACACGAGAATACACCTCAGACCCTAAGGTTAGGTCAATGGGTCCAGGTTGCCGAAAGTCAGGATCTGCTAATGGCAGTCCCCCGGGAATATTAAGATCGTTATCAATCGATACTGACGGTTGGTCTGGAATGACTGTGGGAATAATAAATACCTCTATTAGTCTTTCAAACCCTGATGTAACTGATGAGAGCTTTAGTGTTGATCTAATTGCTGTTGATATTTTTCCTCCGATTCCAGATATTTCAATCGGTGACCTTTCCTTAAGAGATAGCAGATCTGCCATTCCCCTTGAGATAAGATTCACCTGTGATCCACCATCTATTACAGCGCGACATGTTTGTAATTGACCGTTTGGCCCTTGTAATGAGACCTTGGCGGTCGCGAGCAGAGTATATCCTCCTACGTCGTCGTAGCCTGCAATGGTTACTGCGCCGGCCACTGGATTGATAGTTGGTCCTTTGTGTAACAGTGAATGATGCCGTTGCTGGCAGACTCGACAATTGGTCGGTGATCCACAGTTTTCAACCATATGAGCTGTAGACAAACAATTTGTGCATGCTCCTATTTGAATAATGGCTTGGCGCCGTGTTTTGGGGTCCATTTCCTGGAAACGGCTACATGCTCTAAGATTATGTGGTCCTAGGTGACAAATCTTACAGCTCTCTTCGTTGTGAACTGACTGATGGCGTAGCGTTGCTGTAGGTTGAGCGCTTATCGTCTCCAGCATGCAAGCGCGCAGTTCAATAAACGTCAGTACACTCCTTAACGTTGGAATTTCCGTTGGTGCATCTGCTGAATTTTCTAGAGCAGCTAGAGACTGCTGGTCTAGTTTTCTTCTGATAAGAAAACACAGGATTGGATCCCAGGATTTTGTGCTGATATCTGATATTTTTTATAGTGTCATGTAAGGCCCTTAGTTGGCGCGAGGAACCGTCTATAGGCATATGGTCAATAATTTTTGCAATGGCGGCGAATACTAGTATTTTTCCGTTCTGGTACCTGGCCTTTAAACGCAACCAGGTGTCGTCATAGCCACCCTGTGAGAAGGCTGTGTCTGTCAAGACGTTTCTCGCTTCACCACGAAGCGAACTCTGTAGAATATGTAGTTTTTGACTGGCCGAATATGGTTTATTATGTACCAATTCCACAAAGAGATCATGGAACCGTGGCCAGTCTAGATACTCGCCGTTGAACTCCAGAATGCTAATTGGCGGAAGTTTAGGCTCATTGGCGCGTCGTTTTCTCGAAGCAGGTTCATTTCGTATTCTTCGTATAATGTGTGGAACTGAGCTAGCTCTGCTTCTGCCAGGGCTGCGGCTCCAGGTGTGCTGTCCAATTCGTCGTGGGCTTGCCTCAGCAACGCCCAAAGGAGATCCAGGTGCCTTTGTAGGGCTGGGGTGACGGTTGGGGCGTTCGATGCTAATGTTAATGATGACTCCAATTCGTTGCATCTTCTCTGCAACTGTCGGATCACCGTGTCAATTGCGGAATCTCCTTTGACTTGATCTCTTGTTGTGATCTTGATGTTGGCCGACGTTCGTCTCGGGGCCTTCGGAAGCCCGCTTCCAGTCGGCATGTTGTCCAGAAAGATATTCTGATATTTTTCGACCAGCTCCCTAAGTGCTACTACTCGTGAAGAGTACTCACTTCCAGTGGGTAATGCCGCTTGCTGGACTTCTTCATCTAGGTCGCAAAACTGCTGCCAGAGATCGTTTAACTGATGTAGCTTACCGGAATAATAGCCGTCGGTGGCGTCGGTCGGCAGAATCCTTGCCATAGTTCTTAATGAGCTGTTGGATTTTCCCTTCCAGCTCGTTTTGGGTGTCTAGTAATCGATTGTGTAAATCGATTCTTGTGTGACTTGTTTCCTCAATGAATGAAGTAGACATATTGTGTGCCTTGGAAACAAAGAATTCTGTGAAGCTGGATGAAGCTGAGTATCCTGTAAAGCTGGATGAAGCTGAGTATCCTGTGAAGGTCTGGATGAAGCTGACGTTCCTGTGACGCTCGAAGACGAAGCGTATCCTGTGAAGCTGGATGAAGCTGAAGTTCCTGTGACGCTGGAAGAAGAAGCGTATCCTCAGAAGCTGGATTAAGCTGAAGTTCCTGTGACGCTGGAAGAAGAAGCGTATCCTGTCAAGCTGGATTAAGCTGAGTTCCTGTGACTCTGGAAGAAGAAGCATATCCTGTGGAGCTGAATTAAGCTGAAGTTCCTGTGACGCTGGAAGAAGAAGCGTATCCTGTGAAGCTGGATTAAGCTGAAGTTCCTGTGATGCTGAAAGAAGAAGCGTATCCTGTGAAGCTGGATGAAGCTGAAGTTCCTAAGGCGCTGGAAGAAGAAGCGTATCCTGTGAACCTGGATCAAGCTGAAGTTCCTGTGACGCTGGAAGAAGAAGCGTATCCTGTGAAGCTGGATTAAGCTGAGTTCCTTTAGTGGGAAGGGGGTTCCTTGAGTGTGATCCTTTCTTGTTAAAGATTCACGTCGGGGTCACCAATGTTTGTGCCTAACCGAAGTAGACACTTCCGGGTCACACCGCGGGACAAGGGGGTAATGAGCACTTGTCGCTGGCACGCTGGGACGCTTTGCTGTGGTAACGATGGT